AGTTTTGGCTGTTCAGTGAACGTAGTTTGGGTCGCGGGTGGGTCGCGGGCTCTCCGCCTCCACCTGGAAGGAATTCAAAAACAGCCCGCCGCAGGCGGCGAAATTTTAGATTTGCACAATGAACGCGGTTTGGGTCGCAGGTTCTCCACCTGGAACGGATGCGAAAGAAACCCGCCGCAGGCGCCGAAGTTTTGGCTTGTTCGGTGAACGCAGTTTGGGTCGCGGGTGGGTCGTGGGCTCGTCACCTACCGGGAAGGAATTCAGAAACAGCCCGCCGCAGGCGCCGAACATTTTGACTTGTACACTGAACGCGGTTTGGGTCGCGGGTGGGTCGCAGGTTCTCCCCCTCGAAAGAATGCAAAAGAAGCCCGCCGCATGCGCCGAACATTTTGGGTGGGTCGCGGGGTGGGTCGCGGGTGGGTCGCCGGTGGGTCGTGGTGGGTCGCGGGTGGGTCGCGGCCGCGGTTTGGGTCGCGGGTGGGTCGCAGGTTCTCCACCTGGAACGAATGCAAAAGAAACCCGCCGCATGCGCCGAACATTTTGGGTGGGTCGCGGGGTGGGTCGCGGGTGGGTCGCGGGTGGGTCGCCGGGGGGGTCTCGGGGTGGGTCGCGGGCGGGTCGCGGGGTGGGTCACGGGTGGGTCGCGAGGTGGGTCGCGGGTGGGTCGCGGGGTGGGTCGCGGGTGGGTCTCGGGGTGGGTCGCGGGTGTGTCGCGGGTGGGTCGCGGGGTGGGTCGCGGGTGGGACGCGGGGTGCGTCGCGGGCGGGACGACGACAACAAACAACAAACAACAAACAACTAACAACAAACAACTAACAACTAACAACAAACAACAAAAACAACAAACAACAAACAACAAACAAACAAAAACAACAACAATAACAACAACAATAATAATAACATCACTAAGAATAACAACAATAGCATAATAATAACATCAGCAACAGCAACAGCAACAGCAACAACAACAACAACAACAAACACAACAACAACAACAACAACAACCACAACAACAACAACAACAACAACACTGATCCGCATCGCAGAATTCCACTTCGGCCACGCACCCAGGTGCAGTGAATGACCGTTCGGTTCCGTCCCCTCACTCTGAGGAAAAGAGAAGAGAAAAGAGCACGAAGGAGGACGAAGGAGGAGAGGAGGAATGAGAAGATGGAGGAGAGGAGTGAGACGAGGAGGGGTGACGAAGAGGGAGGCGGGAGGGAGGGTGGGGTAGCACATGCTGCCGCCGACCTTGTCGTCCTCCACCTCCACCTGGCTCCGCCTGCGCGCGCGCTCCTTCTGCCGCTGCGGCGACCGCAGCTCCTGACAGGGGCCACGGGAGCCGCCTCCCTTTTAGAAACCCGACGCGTGCCCGAAGGATTGCAAAAAAACCGGAAGGATTGCAACAAAAACCGAAGGATTGCAAAAAAAAACCCTTCGTTGTTTTGCAATCCTTCGGTTTTTTTTTGCAATCCTTCGCTTGTTATCGACGCCCGAGATGCGCCGACGGTGTCGTGCACGCTCCCAGGTCGGGCCTCCTCCGTCCAAGTCCCGGCAGGCACTCCTGGTCTCTGCCGGGGAGCGCGGCCGTGGCCCCCGACAGCAGTGGAGTGCCCGCCGGGCCTGCCGTGGAGGTGATGGCCCGCACTTGACAAGGAGCCGCCATCCATCTCAGGGGGGCGTGCGCCCAAGGACCCCCAAGACAAGGAACGAGGCCCACCTTCCTTCCTTCCATGGAGGTGGACTTCGATTGTCCGTCGAAAACCCACGGAGAACCCACGGCGAGCTGCGAGACCATGCAGGAACACGGAGCCCCTCCCCCACGAAGAGGAGTCCTTCTTCAGCGCCCCGACTGTAGCTACTTCAACAATGTGCCAACAAGAAACCTCATGTGCAACAAGAGCCGTCATCCAGCCGTGTATCGGTTGTGCTGGAGTGGAGGGTTTCACAAGGGAGAGCCCAATCTTGACAAACAAGCAAGCGCCTTCAGCCCGAGGAAGTGATGCACGCTTTAATTCTTGTGATGCCAATGCGGAAGACATCCCACACGAAAGTACACGATGTATTGGTTTTTGCCGGAAAAGAGCCTGACAGCTGGTCTACTGGCTATGTAGCCGCCGTCGCCGCACCGTCGCAGCCTCGTCGCCGCCCGTCATCTGACCCTGACGGCCAGTCAGGCGGCTATGTAGTCGCCGTCGCCGCCCAGTCGCCGCATCGTCGCTGCCCGTCGTCTGGGCTTGCCTGTCGGTCTGGCGGCTATGACGTCGCCGTCGCCGCCCCGTCGCCGCCTCGTCGCCGCCCCGTCGCCACCTCGCATAGATTGCACCGCAGAGATTGCACCGCAGAGATTGCACCGCAGAGATTGCACCACAGATATTGCACCACATAGATTACACCACCTAGACTGCACCACCTAGACTGCACCACCTAGACTGCGCCACAGAGATTGCACCGCACATAGATTGTACCACGGATATGGGTCCACACATCTTGCCGGAGAGCACACGGTCTGAGGCCCACGCTGGCCGACGTGTAAGATGGCACCTGCCGCGAGTGTGCGCGGCAACACAACACGCCCTCAACACGCGCAATTTATGCAATCGTGTACAGTCGGGGCCTTGACCTAAGAAACCCCAAACGAGGAACGAGGCCCCTTTTTACCATAAGTTAAACTTCGATTTTCTGTCGAAGATATAAGGAAACTCCAAGGCAAGCTGCGAAACTATCAAGGAACACGGAGCCCCTCCCCAACGAAAAGGGTTCCTTCTTCAGGACCCCGACTGTAGCTGTTGCATCCGTGACGAGCCGCGTAATTATTCTGAGCGTACAAGGCGCCAATCGCATGTTGGAAATGGGCCGCCCTCCTTCCATAGGTCCGTTCAAAATTTCAGACTCCAAATCCTACATGGTCAAAACGTCTCAAGGGAAGTGGCCAGCCGGCCAGCATGACCTGTCGACACGCGTGGTGGTGCGGTGAGAAGTCAATTACAAGACACATGACTTCAAGCGCGTGGACAAATACATCTGCGTAGGGTGGCGCTCGGACCTCGTCTTGGATTCCAGGAGGCCAGGCGCTCCCGAGGCGCTCTAGGCGGGGCGCTGCTGATGGAGAAACCCTCCGGGGCCTACGTAACCCACGTGAAGGACTACCGACAACTTCGAAGTCGTCTCCAGTCCTCGTGCATGGCGTGGACGCCGACCCAGGCGGCCGACAGGGCGGCCGACACGACGATGCCGAGGTCGCCTGACCCCCGCTCCCCGTATCGGAGCACGAGCTCCTGGAGGCCGGCCACTGTGGCCTGGCCGGGCACCGCGTTGCCCGTGATCTCCCGGGTGAGGTCCACGGCGCTCTCGTACACCACGTTGCAAGTCCGCTCGCTCATCTGAAGCTCCAACAGCACACTCAGGATACGGAACTCGCGCTGCGTTAGCGGCTCCTGCCCGAGGACGCTCAGGGGATCGAAAGCGGCCTCCGCATAGAGGAAGCGGTGCATCAGCTGGCACCACACCTCGCCAGCCACCACCACGTGAGTGGTGCAGTGTGGGCACCGCAGCCAGCGGCGCCGCCTGTGCGGCTGGCGTGCTGGGGCGTCGGCGCCGCCGGCTCCGAGCCGGGCGACGATGCCCTCTACCAGCTCGTAGGGCTTCCGCATCATCAGCGGCACGCTCTTGGTGAAGCGCCGTTCCGAGGGGTCCTCCAGCATCTCGTCCACCAGGGCCAGTCGCGCGAGCACCACCGCGGCGGCCTCGTCGCCGCCTTTGCGGAAGGCGTTCAGCACCACCTTGCGGTGGCGCACCCGCACCCGCTCCAGCGCCAGGAGGTCGGCCCGGCGCGACGCTTCCAGCAGAGCCCCTGCGTCCCTCCAGAGCTCCCGCAGCTCCCGCACCAGACCAAGCAGCGTCTCGTGCTGCGCCACCTCGGCTGGGCTTGCCCGCAGCACGCTCTCGTCGCCGTAGGCCGCCACCATGGCCTTGGCGAGCTCGGAGTACCGGTCCAGCGTGTCCTGTGGGGGATCTACTGACCTGGTCTGATATAAATCCGGGTCGGTCGGGCCTTGCAGGATCCTGCAGGATCCTGCAGGATCCTGCAGGATCCTGTGCCCAAGCCCGGGTCAATGCACCCCTGGCTCTGCAGGATCCTGAAAGATCCGACGCTCTGGCTGACCCCCGTCTGCATCGACTCCCGTCTCTTGAGCCCCGATCCTGGAGCAGCCCCTGGGCACCAGCCACCTCGGGGTCGCGGTCCCTCACCGCGCGCTGCATGCGGCGGAGCTGCGCCGTGGTGAACTCGACGTTGAACCTGGCGACCGGGGGCGGGTCGCCGCTGGCGGAGCTCTCCGGCGCGCCCTCCGACGAGTTCAGGACCTTCTGCAGGACCTGCTCCACGCGGCGGTCCTCCTCGCGGGCAAAATGTGGACTTTCTTGGACTTTCTTGGAAGGGGCGCGTCAGGGCCGAGGCGCACTGGAAATGGATAAAAATCGATCCCCTAGGGGGCAACTTTACCCATGTCCAGTGCGCCTCGGGATTCTGGGGAAGGGAGCCCGAAACTGCACACTGCAATAGATTCGGACAGAAGTATTGCACGCACTCCTCGCTCTTGCCCCAAGACCCGCCCTGGCCCGGCGCAACCTCCGCCAGAGAGGAGAGGCAGCTGAGCAGCACGTTCTGGTGCAGCGGGCCGAAAGAGTCGCCCTCGCCTGTAGAGGAGCGATACTTCGGGGGGGGACCCGCTCAAGGGTGAGACATCGAGCTTGAATCGGCGATACATCGCCGATAGATCGGCGACAGGCCTCTGACTTTGAAGCCACACGCTCCTGGGCGGGAGGGGCTATCGGGCCCCTCTCGGCGGTGCGTGGGTGACAGGGGTCGATGCACTCCCCCACGGAGCCTATCAACTCTATTAGAAGAAGAAGAAGAAGAAGAAGAAGAAGAAGAAGGAGAAGAGAAACGGCATATAAACATACACTTTCGACAGTCCCCGCAGATTTCTTGGATCTGCGCTGGACCCCCCTCCCTGGCGCGCGGAGCGCTCCAGGGGCGGCGCCGGAGGCGCCGTCGGGGGAGCCAAGCGCGGATCCAAGACATCCGCGCGGAGCGCCAACAGTTTATGTGTATGGCGTGTTTTTCCTTGCTCGACTGTCGCTGCCCCTGCTCGCCCTGCTCGCCCTGCGCGAACAGCGGGAAGCCGGGGCCCGGGCTCGACGCCACCTCCTGTGACGAACTGACAACACACACCCATATCCATACGGGGGGTCGGAGAGGGCTACGGGCGCGTGTTGCCGGATGGGGTCCCCGCTCGAACGGGAGCGTTCCCCAGGGTCCGGCAACACGCACCCATACCCATAGCCAGTCCTCCTCCCACCGACACCCCTATGGGTACACCCTGCGAAATGCTTAAGAAATCATGGGTGCAGAAATTCATAGTCTCAGAATTTGAATAAAAACCTTAGATTTCTACTAACAAGTTAGGTTTTCCATTGAAACAATAAGAATAATCAAGACTCTGGCCGAAACCGTACGTTTTCTTAAGCATCGCCTAGGGTGTATGGGTGTGTGTTGTTCGCTCGTCATCCTGGGCCGGTGGGCTGCGGGCCGCCACCGAGGCGTCGGAGGGGAGGCTCCTCGCGGCCACCGCCGCAGACCAGAGGGGGGCCTGCGTCGCCTCGAGCGCCTGGTGCGGGCCCCGAGGATCTATGGCAGAACCAGCGCGTCGACTCCTCCCTCCTCTGCACCTCCTGTTCCTTTCCTCGTTCCTTTTGGGAGGGAGGGGGTGAGGGCTTAGTGGCCCCTGGAAACGACAAGGCAGTTTTTTTACCGGTTCCGTTTTGCCGTTTTTTTGCCGGTTCCGACGCCGTTTTTTTACCGGTTCCGTCGCCGTTTTTTGACCGGTTCTGGCTCCGGGTCCAATCCTGGAGCCGTTTTGTTGCCGTTTCCGGTCGCCGTTTTTTTGCCGTTTCCATTTTCAAAGGGCACTTTTTCGGAAACGGTGAAAAAACGGCCCTGCCGTTTCCAGGGCAGGGAGGTGGTGGTGGTGCCTGTGTTTGGGCCCCGTGCCTGGTGCATCTCGTCGCCCAGCCGCTGGCGCAGCACCGCCAAGTTTCGCGCGAGGCCGGCGTAGGCGTCCGCCAGGATGCAGTCCAGCTTCTCCCGCGAATCCTTCTCCTGTCGTGGGCAAAGACTTGTGTTGCATCCTCGGGGGACCTTGTCTGTCTCGTGGCGGCCCTATCCGCGTCGAATCCGTGTCGAATCCATGAAAGACTCGTCGGATCCGTGTCGAATCCGTGTCGAATCCGCGTCGAATCTACGCCAAATCCGCGTCGAGTCCGCATCGAGCCCGCGTCGGGCACAAGAAACACAATTCTGGGGACAGGCGAGGTCCCCAAAAGATGCAGTGTTCCAAAAACATCAAATCCGCATCCGCAGCCTCGCAGGCCGGGCCGGGCCGCGACCCCGCGGATACGGGGCGCCTCTGTACCGCGGATGCCCCACGCGGGACGCATCCGTGCGACCGCGCAGCCGCGGGGTCGCGCCCAGGAAATCCAGACCGCGAGAGCGCGGCTACGGAGAGGCTCTCCGCTCGTGCAGTCCTGGGCGTCCATGAGGCGCCCCAGCGCCACACCGCACTCGCGGAACTGCGCCAGGGCGATGCCGGAGAGGGCCCGCACCTCCTCCGAGAGCTTGCCCTGCAGGTCCCGCAGGGGCCCCTGCGGCTGCGGCTGCGACAGGAAGCACGCCATCCTCAGCACCCGCGCCTGCAGCAGGCCCTCCCCCGCGTCCGCGGGGCCCGCCTGCCCGGGCTCTTCCGTGCCGAGGCTGTCGGCCGTCGCCTCGAGCCACCCGGAGGGCGGCTGGCTGCTGCTGTGCCTGGGCAGCCAGCCAGAGGCGTGCGCGCGGCCGCTCAGGCGCGTCAGCACCTGCAGGGCAGCACATGTTCAAATTGGGGCCCCTCTTTGCCGTCGCCGTCGTCGTCGTCGTCGTCGTCGTCGTCGTCGTCGTCGTCGTCGTCCTATTCCTCGGCGGCTTCGTCGTCGTCGTCGTCGTCGTCCTCGTCGGCCTCGTCGTCGTCGGCGGCGGCGTCGACTGCGCCTCGAGAGATCGAGCCGCGGGGGGATCGGAGCAACACATTTTCAAATGGGGCCCGAGAAGACAAGCCTCCCCGCGAAAAGGGAACAGCCCGAAGGGGAGGCGCCAATTCACGTGTGTCTGTAAATATATGTGTAATATAACATATATATATCTATACACAACCATCCTGACCCCATGCACATATTATTTGCTGGACCTCCCAGCACGCAGACTACCGAGCATTGCCCGATGCGGAGGCTGTGAGCGGAGCGCACTAACGCGCGCGCACGTCGCGTGCATTGCACTCTCATGTCGCGCGTGCGGCGCGAGCTTCTGGTTCCCTCATGCCTTGCCTGGCGCGCGATATAATTATACTCACATGTTGTTGTCGTTGCGCCGATAGTATGCCTAGTCGCATGCCTCGAGTCCTCCTTCACACCACGGTCTGGACACAAGTTCGCAATTAGGCCAGGCTCGATCAACACTCACCTCACGTCCTGTTCGGCATGCTGGCCTTGTACTTGAATCGCAACGTGCTTCGCAATCGATGTCGAACCTAACTTCACGTGGTGGCTCAAAAATACCCTACGGCGTCGCAGATCGCTCGGATCCGTTATACCACGACTGCTGTTACATTACACCTCGGGCTTGTATGTATCACCGGTAAGTTTATAGCAAGAGCTTAGCTGATTGCTCATCTTTCGGTTGTGTTGCAATTGCGTGCGCATATGGTTCACACAACTTTGGTACCCCGTAGGCGAATCATTACGCAATGCTGTACCGAGAAAAGTTCGCATGCATGACACACGTACTGAAGATGATCTTGCAGCGCGTTTCGACTTAGCTGGTTTCAAAGTTGGGCACTGCGCGGAGCATTATGATTGCACCCGACAGTGACCAGCAATATCTTTCGCACTAGCTGAGCACATTATCTACACGTGTTTCCAATGTGCGTCGCGTGTGGTGCACATGCGTTTGATGCTCGACGTGCAATTCCTCCGCCCGCTTCTTCATTGCACGTCTACTTCCCACATGTGACGCAAGTTTGTCTCCTATCGTAGGACATATTTCCCGCGTGTTACACGGACGAGGAGTATCAAATTCCCGTTCAGCGGGGGTGCCGCTCCCAGTACACAGGAAAGTCGCGCAACGACAGGGAACGCCACACCCCGTCACACGCGTATGGGCACTCAACTTGTGATGGCTAGAGCTGTTTCGCCGCTGTGTTGCAAAGGCGCGTTGACGTGCTACGCGGTCTTCGTGCAATTTTCAGACTCCGCGTGTCCCATGCTCGATGGACATCGCTGCCAGTTTGAACCAGAACTGGAGTGGACTGGGCAACACGTATTGGAAACCACACCTGTTTTGGAACCTCAGTTCGCAGCAAGGTTATGTATTTATTTGGCGGGTGTGAAATGTGATGACGATGATGATTCGAATGATTAGTTACACAACTACTCATCCCAATCATGCCATCAACGCACCGCCCCCGGCAACCGCTTCACTTTCAGATCCCACAGCGGTGCCCCGCACGACTCTGAGCAGATTCGTTTTTCACTTGCTACATGCTTGCCGCCATGTTTCTACGCCTGTCACACATGCGCCGTGGGCCTGATGAGAAATTTACGTGTCCCTGCGCGCGGAGCGGTCCGCGCACGAAACCTCCGCCGCCCCCAACCCCGCCCGCCCTGCTCTCGCAGCGGCGGAAGGCGCGACGCCCCGTTCGGGGCAATGGCGTCGATACGATGCGAAAATTCGCGCGGGCCCCCCGGCCCCCCTCCCCCCCTGACTTCTTATATTTATGCACTCCCAAGGGGGGTGGCATGCCTGCGACGATATATATATATATATATATATATATATAGAAAACTGCATCGGGCACGACGGCGCTGGCGCCTGCCATGACAGGGCGATACCTGCGACGTGCTCTTCGAGCTGCCGGAGGTGCCCGCGTCTCATCGCGGGCGGTGCCTGCGCTTTTTTGTGTTACATATATGTATATGTATATATATATATATATATATACATGTACATGTATATATATATATATATACATGTACATGTGTATATATATATATATATATATACATATATCTATATGTATATATATATACACATGTATATATATATATATATCAAAGTTTTAAGAACAAGCAAAAGAACGCATGCCCGCGGCGCGTGCGCTAACGCCGCGACAACCGAAAGATGCCTGCGCCCCAGCCTTCCGCGGCGCCCATCGGTGCCCGCGCCTGGCCGCGCGGCAGCGCCCGCGCGCGGGCAAACATCGATTTTTTCCCCGCGGCGTGTGCGCCGACACCACCGCTGGCCGAGCGACGCCTGCGCCCTACAGTCGGGCCGCTGAAAGCAGGAACGCTAGATAAGGAACGAAGCCCCCTCTTGGCCCTGTAAGCGCCTCCGTGCCCCAGGAGGGCAAGAGGAACCGCACCGGAGGCACCCGAGGAACATCGAGCCCCTTCCGAACCCCAACAGTTCCTCATTTCAGCGTCTTGACTGTATTTGACTCGCCCGCGGTGCCTGCGTCGAACCACACGCGGCGCCTGCGCTGAGAGAGCGACGGCGCCCGCGCTGCGCGGTGACGTCGCCACGACGGGGAGAGGCCCGCACCACCCAACTATTTGACATGTCTGCGGCGCCTGCCCCACGTCACACGCACTCCCTGCGCTGATGCAGCGACGTCGCTGTTCTTGCGTGGGGCTGGCAGCAGCCACCTGGGCGCAGAAACTGTCGAAATCCGCGCTCGAGAAGTCGACCTTGCGACGGTTCATCGGCGCATCCACCTCACGTGCCAGGCCGCGGAGCCCAGACAAGGCGATCCGCTTCCTGTTTTTGGCTGTCATTTCCGATCATTCGGCATCGGGATATGGAACTCTAGGTTGAACCATAGTGGCACGCGGATGTCATCGCCGCGGATGCGAAGCTGATGGCGACGGTGGCGACGGCGATGGTGACGAGGCAACCCTCGCGGCCGCGATGATCATCATCTACATTGCACCCCGTCGCGCGGATCGGCTCCCAGTAGGCAAGTCGGAATGGGAAAACGCCCGCAGCAACCTCACATCGGCCACTACATGGGATCTGAGATCGCACGCCAACGTGAAACGCCACTACGAGGCAATACCTGGGCCCGCATACATGTAAATGTGTTTCACGCAAGCAAGAGTAGCTCACGCCAATAAGCATTGCACATGCGCCCATGTGCATTCCATCCTTCTTTTGCGGGCTCGTTGCGGCTTCCTACGGCCTCTTACCAAAATGTGGAGTCAGAGGGGAATCGCCTCATGCGAAGCAAACCTTTTTCGCATTGGGAGATGCGGGTTGTTCGCCGACGAGCAATTCAATTCACAACGCTGGGGTTCCTAATCGAACGCACCTCGACGTATTATAAGAAACAGCCCAAATAATATGAATCCTATCAGTCTGAGGCCTCGCACCCGACCGAAGTGAGAGGACGCCCGATGAGGTCGGAACAAACTGCAGATGTGTAGATTGCGAGCTCTCTAGACCCTTACGTACAACAGACAAGCGTGAGCAAAAGAACGAGCAAGACATGGACTACTCTCCTGACTACTCGCGACGTCGCACCTGCGCCACCGCCGCCCAGTTCGCCTGCGTCCAGCTGTGGCCGAAGTTCTCGGGGGAGCAGAGTCTCCTGAACGCCACGAACAGCTCCTCGGTGGCCCTGGTGAGCCGGATCTCCTCCACCTCTGCCAAACTGCCCGAGGGACTCGAGAGCACCACCCGAGGGCTCGCCCGGAGGCCAGCGCAGACCCGGGACAAGGGCTTCTCTCTTGGCGGTCAGCCCGGAGAGCCAAGTGAACTCCCCCTCCTCACTCCCAGATCAAAGTCGGTCGCCTCGTCCTCCGGGCTCTCCTGGGGCTCTCTCCTGGGGGCCCTTTCTGGGGCACTCCTGGGACTTCCGTTGGCGCCCCGGTGGTGGGTTTGGGGCCCCGTGTGCCAGTGGCGAGGCCGCGGGGAGGGCAGAGGGGGCTCGGTTTTATCCCCCCCTAAAAAAACAGGCTCCGGGGGCCTCCACTCCTCTAAAAAAGATCGGGGATGTGCTGGCCCGGGTTCATCCAGACCCTGGTCAGTCGGGCCTCGCAGGACCCTGCAAGATCCTGCACCCAAAAACCTTGGTCCACGCGAAGGATCCTGCGGGACCCTGCCGGATCCTGCACCCAGACCTGGGCCAGTGCGACCCTGGCCCTGCAGGATCCTGCAAGATCGGACGCTCTGGCTGACCCCCGTTTGCATTGACCCCCGTCTCTCAGTCGGCGGTGGACGAACCAGCAAACCTCCCCTTAGTGAAAACGGCCTGGGACCGAAACCGACGGACCTGGACCCGCAAAAAGGACGGCCGCGACGCCCTCTCGCGAACCGAACACGGCCAATTCCTTACTCGAAGTGTCAGGGCAGGAGATCTGTCCACCCCGTCCCTTAGGCGCCGACAGAGGCCTTCTGAGCCTTCTCTGGCGACGCAGGCGGCTGTTCAGGGGGCGCGAGGGCCTCTGGGAGGCCCCGCCGCCTTCCGGGAGGGCCCGATGCCTCTCGCACGCTCCCCCCCCCCGGGTGCGCCGTCGACGGCAGGTGTTTCCAGGGGCCCTCGTGCACAAGCGGCGCGAGTAGGCTTTCACTGTCCCTCTCTGAAGGGGCACCAGGACACACACACACACACACACATAAATACTCACAGATGCAAATATTCCCCATACGTTCCCGTATTTTTTTGGGGGGGGTCGTCTTCCCCCCACTCCCCACATTTTTCCACATCTTCCTGGGAATCGACGACTAATTGTGTCTGTGTGTGTTTTCCCCTCCTGACTCTCCCGCTCCTCGTCCCTCCTCCTCGTTTGCATGCCTCGAGACACGGCCCGAGTGAACCGCCAAGCCGAACTCTGGTCTTGGTCAAGCGACCACCCAAGGTGGTCCCTCCAGAGACTCATCCAGGAAAGCTCCTCATCTCCTTCCTCGTCCTGCTCCTCGTCCCGCCCTCCTCGATGTCCGCATCCTTTCCCTGGACTTCTGGCCAGCCGACCTGCTTGCTGAACCTCTGCTGTGACATGGTCATCTTGGATGGGCTCGCCAGCGAGGTGTCCGAGAGGCTGAACATGGACTGTCCGGTGTACTCAAGCCCGAGGTTGGCCGGTGGTGACCTGGGCGAACTTTTGTTCCTAGACCGGCCTGTCCGGCGGGGCGCATCGTCGATGCGCACCGAGCCCGCCTTGCGCAAGATGGCCTCGTCTGACCTGCACCAGAGCAGCACGGCCTCGTCGGTGCGCATCGTGCCTGTTTTGACATGCTTCGTGAGAGCATGGTGCTCGTAGCTATCATTGACGCTCTCCAGCAGAGCGCCACGGTCTAGAGACAGCGCCTGAGACAGGTTTAACTTCGCCTGTGATAGGCTTGACTTCAACATCAGGTCCAGCCTGCCATCGTTCAAACGTTCCTGTGCGTAGTCATCGAGGACACCAGAGGTTCGCCCACCACTAGATGAGAGCGAGCCCCTTGAGCCAGCATGCCCACACATCGCTCTGCGACAATGAGCATGGCCAGCGCTGGAGTAGCAGGAAGAGTAGGGAACCAGCGTATAACACGATCGTGCATGACGAGGACGAAAAGGGTTAGTACCACGAGGACGCGCCAAAGGAGGGAGCATACGGGTGTGTACACATATTCGCTGGCCCAACGGGCCAGAGGCGTGCTAAGATCTCCGGTAACTACTGAACAATATTTCTAGTTCGCGCGCGGGGCGGCCCCTGGGGGGCCCCGGACGAAAAGTACCCCGGCCGATCCCCGGCTGACCCCCGGGCGATCCCCAGGGGGGAGGCTATTTTTCGCCACCCCTCACGAGGATCGTGGCCTCCGATGGGGGGGGGCTGCCAACGACCCTCCCGCCCCAAGGGGCCCCCAAGAGCTCCCAAGAGGCCCTAGGGGGGCCCAATACGCCGCCAAGGAGCCCCAAGACGCTCCCAAGAAGCCCCCAAGAAGCCCCCAAGACGGCCCCAAGAGGCCCCAAATAGCGCTCCAGGGCCGGCGGAATGAGCGAAGCGATCAATTATTCACTGCGTGGAGCTCCCCATGTGTGCATCTACTCGCATGGACCTGTCCGCCGTGAATGTCTAGGCGCAAGAGCTTTCGAATATTAACGGGCTTCAGTTGTGACGGTCTGGACATCAATCTAACTGCGAATGAATTGGAGTGTGAATGAGCCTCAGTAGTACGAGCGCGTCTCTGTGCATGAGCCTGGGGCCTCCTGGGGCCTCCTGAAACCTACTGGGGCTTCCTGGGGTCTCCAGGAGCCTCTTGGGACCTCCTGGGACCTCCTAGGAAGGTTTCGTGCCCCAGGAGAGGCGCAATCTATAGCAACAGACGTACATAAAACATTGCGGATTAGAGCCACAGGAGAAGGGCAATCTATAGGAACACGCGTAAAACACCAAGGACTCGTGCCCCAGGAGAGGCCCAATATATAGGAACATGAGTAAAACATTTAGGATTGTGTACACAGGAGAAGGACCATCTATAGAAACATACGTAGAACATCAAAGAATCGTGCGGTGAGGCCCAATCGATAGGAGCATACGTAAAACCATGGGATTGGAGCCACTCCTGTTGCCTTCCCTCCTGAGGCCTCCTAGCCAGCCTTCTGGGAAGTGGGAGTCCTGTGGCCTGAGCCTCCTGGACACGAGCCTGGCCAAGCCCGATCCATGGCCCACCTGGGGGGTGAAAATGAGCGCCTCGCTCGAGACATCCTCCAAATCTGCTCCGAAAGCGAAGGATGTTGAGCCCAGAAACAAGCAACCGCCTGAGACATCCCACAAAATGGCCGCGAACGAGCCCGTGCAATCACCCCTGGCGGCTCCCCTTAGAGCCACGAGCCTGGCCACCAAAACAAGCAAATCGATCGAGACATCTTCAAAATCTGGCCCACCTGGGGGGTGAAAATGAGCGCCTCGCTCGAGACATCCTCCAAATCTGTTCCGAAAGCGAAGGATGTTGAGCCCAGAAACAAGCAAACCGCCTGAGACATCCCCACAAAATGGCCGCGAACGAGCCCGTGCAATCACCCCTGGCGGCTCCCCTTAGGGGTGCTGAAACCAGCGCCCCGCCTGAGACATCCTCACAATCTGCTCTCCAAGCGAAGATGTTGAGCCCAGAAACAAGCAAACCGCCTGAGACATCCCCACAAAATGGCCGCGAACGAGCCCGAGAGGAGGAGGGAGGAGGAAGAGTAGGAGGCGTCCAAGTAATAATAAGAACCCCATCTTAGGATATGGGGAACAAGCAAACCGCCTGAAACATCCCCACAAAATGGCCGCGAACGAACCCGTGCAATCACCCCTGGCGGCTCCCCTTAGGGGTGCTGAAACCAGCGCCCCGCCTGAGACATCCTCACAATCTGCTCTCCAAGCGAAGGATGTTGAGCCCGGAAACAGGCAACCCGCCTGAGACATCCCCACAAAATGGCCGCGAACGAACCCGTGCAATCACCCCTGGCGGCTCCCCTTAGGGGTGCTGAAACGAGCGCCCCGCCTGAGACATCCTCCAAATCTGATGTGTGTTGAGTAAGTCTGAGTATGAATAGGTCTGAGTATGAGTATGCCTGAGTATGAGTAAGTCTGTGTATGGGTAAGTCTGTGTATGAGTAAGCTGTGTATGAGTACGTCTGGGTGTGAGTAAGTCTGTGTATGAGTAAGTCTGTGTATGAGTATGTCTGAGTGTGAGTAAGTCTGAGTATGAGTAGGTCTGAGTATGAGTAAATCTGGGTATGAGTAAGTCTGTGTATGAGTAAGTCTGAGTATGAGCAAGTGTGAGTATGAGTAAGTCCGACAGGAGGGGAGGAGAAAAGAGGAGGAGGGAGGAGGAAGAGTAGGAGGCGTCCAAGTAATAACAAGAACCCCATCTTAGGATATGGGGAAAACAAGCAAACCGATCGAGACATCCTCAAAATCTGGCCCACCTGGGGGGTGAAATGAGCGCCTCGCTCGAGACATCCTCCAAATCTGCTCCGAAAGCGAAGGATGTTGAGCCCAGAAACAAGCAAACCGCCTGAGACATCCCCACAAAATGGCCGCGAACGAGCCCGTGCAATCACCCCTGGCGGCTCCCCTTAGGGCCACGAGCCTGGCCACCAAAACAAGCAAACCGATCGAGACATCCTCAAAATCTGGCCCACCTGGGGGGTGAAAATGAGCGCCTCGCTCGAGACATCCTCCAAATCTGCTCCGAAAGCGAAGGATGTTGAGCCCAGAAACAAGCAAACCGCCTGAGACATCCCCACAAAATGGCCGCGAACGAGCCCGTGCAAACACCCCTGGCGGCTCCCCTTAGGGGTGCTGAAACCAGCGCCCCGCCTGAGACATCCTCACAATCTGCTCTCCAAGCGAAGGATGTTGAGCCCAGAAACAAGCAAACCGCTTGAGACATCCCCACAAAATGGCCGCGAACGAGCCCGAGAGGAGGAGGGAGGAGGAAGAGTAGGAGGCGTCCAAGTAATAATAAGAACCCCATCTTAGGATATGGGGAATAATACATACATGCATACATACATACATATATGGATGCGCACACCGCACACACGTAGCCATATACGCACATACACATATGATGTTAAGCGCAGAGTTGGTGACGGGATCGCGGACGAGTGTAGTGGAGGGGAGGAAGTGGAGGAATCCATATTGCTTATGATGCTGATGACGGCACCGCTTCGACAGGAGAAGGTTGCCATGGGTAACTGGGCCATGGATCAAGTAACTCAGAACCTAACAGACGCCCACCTGCCCCCAAACCAACGTGGGATAATCCCCCCCGCGGGCGCGGGCGGTGTGCGCGCGTGTGCGAACAAACAAACATCCGCACTCGGCAGAGGCAAGCAGCAGTCACGAACCCATCCCTGGCAACCTGGACCGCGACAAGTGAACCCATGCCAGCTCACTCGGCCCCCGAATCGTGCAGTACAATCGGACCTGGGCTATTAGAACATCCCTCAAGAGCTGGAGACGCCGGCCGAAACACACACAGAACAGCACCGACCTCGATCCAATACCTCGGTCCGCCTGCACTCGATGGGGCCGACGTGGCTTTCGGGCCACACCTCGACTCTCTGGCGGACGCTCGGGACGATTCTGGCCCCCCCGGAACGCCCTCGACGAGGCGCAGCTGATGGAAGCCACCCCGAAGCCCCGAACTCGTCGAAGAACTTGCGAACCTTCGACTCCAGCTGCTTCGAAGATACCCTCCCCGAACCGACCTCGATCTTGTACCTTGGTTGGGCGCCCGAGCTATCCGGGGTAACTCGGGTCCGGGGCAACTCGGGCTTGGATTCCCGAAAAACAAACCCGGGTTAGCCCTGACCCGAGTTACCCCTGATGATGTGGGGCTCTGGACGTCCGAGTTATCCGGGGTAACTCGGGTCCGGGGCAAGTCGGGTTCGGATTCCCGAAAAACGAACCCGAGATAGCCCTGACCCGAGCTACCCCGGATGATGTGGGGCTCTGACTTGGCCCGACTGCACGCCGGTGGCAGCACGCAGAGGCAGCAACAGCAGCGCCCACTCCGTGCAGCCGAGGCGCAGGCCCTGGCCACGGACGGAGGCCGCCGCCGCCGCCCGCCGCGGGCCCCGCGGGGGCCGCCTCGCCCGGGCCACGCCCGCCCGGGCGGCGAGGCAGCGAGCGCCGCGGGGAGCAGCACGGCAGCGGCAGGGGACGAGGTACAGTCGGGGCGTTGACCTAAGGAACCCTAAATAAGGAACGAGGCCCCTTTTTTCCACAAGTGTAACTTCGATTTCCGATCGGAAACATGAGGAAGACCTGAGGCAAGCTGCGAAACACTTAAGGAACGCGGAGCCCCTCCCCAACGAAAAGGGTTCCTTCTTCAAGGCCCCGACTGTATACCTGGGCTATGCTTAGGACGCCCCAGGCTCGCCAGGGACTGGCTTCCCCCCCCCCCAAAAAAACGAAAGCCCTGCCAACACCCTCCCGAACCCCTCCTGGAACCCTTCCGGTCGGGTTCTCGGAAGATCCAAGGAGAGTTTCGAGGGATCCGCCCCCGCCCCTCGCTCAACGCAGTTTACGAGGCGTATGATTTGAACTGCGCCCTGCCAATGTTCCCCAGGGGTACAGGATGCCCTCTGAGGCGCGGAGAGCTCATCAACGCGCCTCCCAGGCCCAGGGCCCCCCCCCGAATTCCCTGGGATGGCTTCCAACACCGCCCCCGATAGCCCAGGGCTGGAGCAAGGTCTGGCCCAGAATCCTCCAATCAAGTCCTCGAGACATCCGGGGGCTCCAGGAGGGCCCCGAGAAGGCCCCGACAACAATCCGCCAGAAAGCCCACACATGGTAAAACAAAACATACCGATACCGCTACTCCCCGGAACTCACCAGGAGTGTTCTCTGACCACGATCTTGAAGCGAATCC